TATCTTTTCAACTTATTTCTGGAATTCTAGAACCTATTATACATGATTCTGACTAAAATTTATGTACAGCTATGGGAGTTGGCTGATGCAATAATCAACTGAAAGTCAACAGATGTAGTGTAGAGAAACCAGCAACAAGATCCTGGGGTGGTCTTAATAACATCTGTAAGGGTTATGATACTTCCAGCTAGGATGAGTATCAAGTTCACAATGTTTTTATTTACTGACAACTTGAATCTCCAGGAACTTGTCCTCATGGCGCTTGCAGATTTACAGGGAAGATATCTCATGGTGCTTCCATTTGTTACAGAGATTTATCAGAGGATTATATAACCATAGAAGCACCCAACTGAACTTGTTTATGATATTGTACGTTATCTATGAATATTTGGTGAAGTTGATGGTAAGCGTGAAGTCAATAACTAATTCATATTTGATATTTCTTCCAAACCTTACAAGAAATTTAGAAGCATAAAGCTTTCTGGCTCACGTCCATTGAACTCATGGTCAAGGAATTGATCAACTTATTAAGGTTTGCTTCTCAAATTCATATTGCACCAGATTAATTATTGCCAGTTGTTATCCTTTTAAGATCAATTTTTGAACATAGGAGGAAAAAGAATCATGAGTTTTTATTATCCATCTATTGAAGGAGCTGTATGCATTCCCAGGATTTCTAGTGGCATGACTGGATACCACACACCTAACATTCTGTTTATTTTCAGATACTAATAATAATGTCAACTGAATTGATGCAAGTGTGTGAGAGGAGAAGAAAAAGAAATTTGTTCTTCCACTGGAAGCATCAGCTGCAACATTTGTCTTCTTAACTGCAAGTACCTACATTTTGGAGCCTAAAAGGAAATAAACAAATAAATAAATGACAAGGTATGACTGTATGTTTATCAACTAGTGCTAGATGTTCAATTAAGTCAGTCGAGTGCTTATTTTTGTTTTGAAATTGACTAATAAGTTTTCCTGTCACATCTGTTCTCATTGAACTTTATATATATATATATATATCAGATGTAAAGGAATTGAATACTGAAAAAAAGGACAAGAGGGATACAACTTTGAAGTCAAAGAATCGAAAATTTACATATTGTGAGCTAGTGAAAATTACCAGCATCTTTGAGAGAGACATCAGAGGAGGGGCGTAGGAACACTTTGATGATTACCTAGATAATGGTTCTAAAGTAGCCTGTAGCAGTAAAGATGCTGTCTCATCATCAGGTGAAGGGTATAAAGAGTTTCTCTAATTCTCTTAGAGGTATGCACATTTTATCTCTAAAATACTTTTGAGTTCATTCTCAAGTCATGTCTTAAAAATTAAGCTGTGACTCCAATAAATTTAGAGGTTTTAAACTTCCTATGAGAGTTCATCTTGCAAACCTGACATGACAATCCTTGTTGGGTATTTATCTCCTCTCTAATTAATTTCTTTACTCAGGTCATTGGCAAAAAATTGTCTCTACTTTGTATTCAGGCCTTGTAAAAAATTTTCGTTGGAAGGAGACTCAACTAAAGAAGTGTTTCTCTCTGCAATTTGCTTATTTGCAACAATACAATTAGTAAGTAGCAGTTCATCTATTTTGGGTATTGGAACACCTAAGAAGATTCCTTTGATAGGTTAAAGATTTACTCATAAAAGTGATTTCCTTTCCTGCAGGCCTTGTTTGCTGGAGTATTTCCTAGTCCTCCTTTCTTAATTTGGGGAGTGACCCATAATGGTGCTGCAAGCTGAGTTACAGTGCAAGATAGCTGAAAAACTTAAAGAGACTAAAGTTGGAGTTGTCTACCCCTTAACGGCCAGACTATACAAACCAGCTTGAGAACAAGGTCGAATCTTGAGATTTCTATGTATGCCCCTAGTTCTATCTAGGGAAGAGAGATTGAAGTTGTTATCCTCTAGTTCTCTCTTGAAATGAAACTTTGTGCGTTAGCTATTTTTTCCGTAGTGGATGTTTTTATTTGGACTAGGTCCCGTGATTTTAACCTTCTTGGGTTTTTCACGTAAAAAATTCTTGGTGTTGATTTCATTCTTGTTTTTATCTTAAACTTGATTATCTGGCCCTAATTTTCCCAGCAAGTACATCATCAAATCCTTATAAACGTGCCAAAACACTCTTAAGATATGGGCACAATGCACTACTAATTCCAGAAGTGTTAAATGCCGTGGAGGTCAAATTACAAAGATTTGATGAAACATAACAGTGATCAACAGTCACTTCCCTAAGATAACCTTTAAAGTGAAATCTATTGGTTATTAAATATAGAATATATTTGGATTGGGAAACCTCCCTTCTCTTCAAGAGCTAATCATTCAAGCTTGCATTAATTTGACATATCTACCTTTTGTTGATGCCATGCAACGCCTCTCCAACTCACAATATATTTGGATCTACCAATGCCCTAAATTGTAAGAATCCTAGATTTCTCACATTTGAAAAATTCAGATGGGTTTGTAGTCTCAATCCCAAGCAGCTTGAGGTTTTTAAGAGATGTTTGATAACCAAGAGATTTCATTAAAGGTCAGTTTTTGATTTATAATTACACTTCAATCCAAAGTTTGAGTTGATTTAACATTTAAAACAATTAAGGAAATCATAGTTTCAAGGGATCAGAGAAGAGATAGAGAAAGAGAGAAAAAAAAAACGTTTTATTTAGCTCTTATGAAGTCTTCATTGCAAACTCAAAAGAACTCCATCAATCTACTGTACAATTGTCTTTTCTCAAAACTTGCCTCCGCAAGCCTTCTAACTTTCCTTAAAAGATGCACTTGTGGTATTCAACTTGATAGAGTTCCATCACTCAACCTTAGCCTCTCCTCCAGAAATGCTGCTTTTCTGCTACAGTCTCCCTTACAAACGTGTACACAACCATATCAAGAGAAATGGGGGAGAAGGCTAAACAGAGGATGCTAGTGAATGAGAAAAATTGGTACTTCTTGTTCCAGGAAAAGAGAAGGCATTTAACATCTAGCTGAAGAGAAAGGTACAAAAAAGATTCTAAACAAAATGAGAAACAGTATTACCGAGCCAATTTGTCCCTTAATGACTGCAAGATATAGATTGAGAGAATAAATGACAGCATCAGCCCAGTTTTTCCAACATGAATATAAGTTTGTAATTGGGTAAATATAACTTAAATTTAATAGGTATGTGCATTGCATCATTAAAATCAAAGTTGAGATCTTGACAATAAAAGACATTTAATATAAGGGTTATGAGATTGTTCACCCCATTAAAAAGGTGCCAACTCATTTTCCTCAAGGTTTGCATTCCCCAGGTGCTAGGATTAGAGCATGTAGTAGACTAATGAAAAATTGCAAGCATACATCTAAAACTTGTATGTCCTTCCTTGCCTATACTGATTAAATAAATTGGAAATCTCATCTTTTAATTATAAAAATAAGAAAGAAAATACAGATTTATTTCCCTTTTTCATTTTTCTTTTCTTTTTTTATTCCTTTTTAAGATGCAAATTGATCTACCGTAAACTAATTAATTAGTAGAATTAGCTATAGTGATTAGTGACAGGTCAAATACAAAGAGAGATCAAGGGTTCAACACAGAGTTGCAGGCATTGTTAAAAAAGATTATAACCAAACTTGATGTTAACAGTCAAGAAAAGAGCATGAATAACAGAGATGTCAGCATCTAACTGAAATATTTTGATTGATAAATAGCCTTGACTCTTCCAAATACACTACAATTCAAAACAAATCTACTGCCTTAAATTTAGGATAGACTTTTAACTGATCCAAATAGCACATAAAATCCAGAAGTCACATCTATCTCTGGCTGCTCCTCCCTGTCATAGACATTCCATAGAAATCATGTGTCAATTCAAGCTTCATAAAAATCATGAAAACTCAACATGACTTCTCTAGGAATAAGAAATAATAAAATCTGGAGTTTTGGACATTCAAAAGTATGTATCATCTTCCAGTACTTCAGTGGTTTTGTTAAGAGATGTACTTAAGAGTGAATTCCTTCGACATACAAACAGGGGTAATAGAAAGGCAAATGAAGAACCAGCTCCACATGCATGTCAAAGAAAAAATAAGAACGGAATCTAAGCGAACAAAAGAGCATTCCACATTAACAATAAATTTGCATGTTAAGGTGAGTCAGCCAACAAGCCATTTAACTGAACTGACTTAGAGAAAAAACTTCAAACCTGGTTAAGGTGGCCAAGTTATTAAAATTCTGTACAATGTGACTGCCTTTGAAGAGGAAAATTTATAAAAAATAAGAATGCAAAGTTCTCAATGTAAATAATGGTGCAGAAGGAAGAGACACTGAAGCTTTCAACTTCCCAAAAATCTATACAATTTGGCTGCCCTTGAAGAGTAGAAACAAGACTTTCTGATTCAGCATTTCTTATGTAATTAATGTAATCACAAATGGAAGATGCATATTGTTAACTCTCGTATGATTGCCAATGTCAAAGAAAGATTAGTCAACATATAATAGAGATCTATCATTTGTTCAAGTTATATAATCTTTCTCAAAAGAGGGAAAAAAGGCATCTCACAAAGTTCTCAAACACATAAGTTAAAATAGAATATAGGTTAATCCAACGATACAGAGAATATTGCTACAAGGCAAATAATACTAACCATATGTATCTGACAAGCACACGTTTTGGCCAACGTTGAGGATCCCAGAACCATTTATGGATATCTGGATGAATTTCAATGTCTGTTCAAGTGAAAGAAAAGTAGAGGGTGAGGTCCAACAATTGAGAGAAAAAATTAAAAACCACCAGATCAACTCTTATAAAGCAGTCTTCACACTTTTAAGAAAATGAACACTGAATTATTTTATTTGAAATTTACAGATAAGAAAGGAACTTGGTTTCTTGTTTGACAAAACAACATTTTTAATACCCATCCAAGTCCAATAATAAAGATCTACAAATTCCCTGGAATTCATTATAGCTTGTGCCCAAACTCACTCTCACTTAAACGGGAGCATTAATGGAAAAGATTTTTTTGCTATCACAATTACATACTGCTTGAAAAGTATTTGGGAACCGTCCCTTCTTCTTTTTCTTTTTCTTCTTCTTAAAATAGGGGAGGCAAGCAAGCAAGCAATTGATAATCACCTTAACATCAAAATCAATGGAGATTTGAGACCAACACAACCATACATACCAATAAATCTAAAAGGGAAAGATGAATACCACTGCTTCGTACATGATCACTGAACACTTGTCTATATTAATGAGCAAGCTAATACACGAAAGGTAAGAATGATATTATGTACAATGGTGAGGCATATCCAAAACTTTGGCAATGACACCAAGCAAATCACCTCCTGAGTACCTCTGAAAGACAAAGAATTTGACAAAGAAGCTAATATAATAACAAAATTAGCAAAAAAAAAAAAAAAGAAAAATCTATATATGATGTTTCTCTAAGCCGTTTTACTGATAACCAGAAAAATGAAGAAAAACATTAAGTTTCAAAGATGTCTTACCAAATGGACATCAATCCTTGGAACCTTAGAACTTTTACGGTTTATCAATAAAAACCACGGAATCAGAAACTTCTCTCTTCTAACTTGAAATGAGCTGCATGTAATTAAACCTTTTAGCATATAACATATAAATAGCAAAGCTGTTACAAATTAACCCCAAATTGCAACCCAACATAATCGAGAAGCTAGATAGATGATTCTTAATTTTACACTGAAAATGGACAAGCCAGACGAAATAACTTCGTGTGAGCATAATTGATTTGGCAATGTTATATTAAACGAAAACAGCCACGTACTATCAATTTCTAGCTCGAATTCAACCATATCAAATGTCTTTAGTTTGAAAATAAAGAGCATATAACGTACATAATGAACATACATTTTGTAAGGATCGGTGCCGGTATAAACAGTGGGCTTTGCTGTTGGAATTAAAACCTGAGATAAATTAAGAACCCCGAATGAGAATCGACGAACTACAAGAGAAAAAGCAGATAGATTGACGCCAAAGTGGGTAGTGGGTACCTCACGATTAACAGCGAAGATGGGGCAATGTTTTCCGATCATGTCAAGTCATGTCATGCCACACGGTTGTGGACTGAAACCATGAAATCAAGAGACTTAATATCACAGAGAAGAAAAAGAGAAAACGGAGGAACATTCGAAGACAAGGGTGTAATAAAGGGCGAGATGGGAATGCTGACGGAGTGGTATTGACCCATTTTGCTCATCGGGACGATGTCGCCGTGCCTGTTAACGGAAGCTATGGAAGAAAACGAGAGTGACAGTAGAATTAACTGCAGCGTTGCCATTCATCATCAACCTCTTATCGGCAGTTGGGAATTGGCTAATGGCCATTTGAATTTTTTTTGTTTTTATAAAGAAAAATAAAGAAAAAAAATTGAGATATGGTATTATTTTTTGGTTTTTCTAATAGACAGTAGTATCATTGGTTGGCGCATTTTTATAATTAATTTATATAAAAAATAAAAATTAATTTTAAATTTATTAAATATTTAATTTAAATCAGATACATGACATTCATGTTAAAAATAAGATGTTAATATAATGTAAATTGTTTTTCTAAAATTCTTTTTAGAGAATTTATCTAAAAATTCACTTTCTAATTAATATTTTTAAAAATTAATTACTAAATTAAAAGTTTTATTAATTTAAATTTTGTATATCAATTTTTAGATTAATTAATACTTATAACCTTTTTATGAAAGAAATTATATTTATTGACATTATTTAAATAATATTAAATTTTATATAATTAATGAAGTGATTACATTTATTAAAATAATCTAAAAATTAACATATATAATCTATATGAATATAACTTTTAATTTAATTATTAATTTTTTTAAATATTAATTAAAAGATAAAATTTATAGATATTTCCATCAAAAAAATTTTGAGACACTTTTCTCTAAAAATAATCTTTATTTTTATTTTTTAAAAAATTTATTGAAAAAGTGTAATTCATTCTTTTTTAAAAAAAAGATATTTGCCTTTATTCTACGGTTGTTGCCGACAAAGATGGCATAACTGTGGGATTAGCCCTCCTTAATTTAGGGGTGACCCTTAATGGTGTTGCAAGGGGAGTTGCATTGCAAGATGGATGAAAAACTGAAGAGACTAAAGCCAGAGTTGCCTCCCCCTCAACAGTTGACTTTTCTAACAAACTTGAGAACAAGGTATGATCTTGAGATTTCATTATGTATGCCTCCAGTTCTACATGGGAAAAAGAGATTGAAATCGCTATCCTCTAGTTCTCCATAGAGATCAAACTCTTGTAAGTTTACTATTTTTCATATTGAAACTTTTTATCTTGACTAAATCTTGTGATTTTTCCCTTCTTAGGTTTCTCATGTAAAAAATCTGGGTATTGATTTTATTCTTACTTTTTATTTTGAATTTGATTACCTTACCCTAATTTTCTTAGCAAGTACCTCATCAAATCCCTCATTAACTTGCCAAAACACACTGAGATGTGGGCGTAATCCCTTACAAGAGATGTTGGGGCATTTTTCTATAAAATGTTTGGCAAGTATGAGGACAATAAAAAAAGGCACAAAATGAGTAGGTAAAAGTCTAGTTTAACCCTTTATCTTATTAAATTTGTAGATTTTAACATTCATTTTATACTATGACACTTTTAACTTTTTACCTATTAGAATTAAAGAAAATGATCCTCACTTATAACATTTTGTTAACTCTATTAATTGACTATTAGTTAATTGTTAGTTGGTAAAAACTTACTTTTAACTAATAGAGTTAATAGTCAGTTAATAGAATTATTTTGTTAGTTAACTGTTAATTTCATTAGTTGACTGTTAATTGGTAAAAACCTACTTTCAATTAATAAAATTAACAATCAGTTAACAGAACTTACGAAATATTACAAAGTTAAGGCTATTTTCTTCAATTATAATAAGTGAAGAGTTAAAAGTTATTATAATATAAAGTAAAATATTAAAACCTACAAATCTAATAAGGTAAATGGTTAAAATTAAATTTTTGTCAAATGAGTATGCAAAGTCATCAATTATCGTATAACTGCTTCATATTATAATATGAACAAAAGACTTAGTGGAGAACAACATGACAGCAGAGTGACATGCAAATATTAGGCAGGCCAGGACTGTCACATTAGCCATGGTTGTGGAACATTTCTTGGGCTTCATGGGTATTGGCTGGGTGTTGATTATCTTATATGCAACGTCGAGTTACAAGGGTTGAATAAGATGCCAAGGGAATATTTTCAAATTATCGTGAATTTTACAACGAAATTTTCATTCCCAAGAAAAATCTCAATCGTTCAGCGGTTGCCTAGACCTTTGGCAAGTAAATGTATTTTAAATAAAAAATGGCCATTAATTGTGCAGATTGAAACTCTGTAGAGTGAAGATGGTTGTAATCAACGGCAAGTCCGTGGTTTGGTAGTCGTCGGGTGAGGGAAGGTGTGACGAATGGATGGAGATCGATCCAATGTTTGCGAGAAGTTTGGAGGAGGCTTTGCTTCGATGTTAGTGATCCTCATTTACGAAAATGGCGTCCCTGACCCGGTCCATGTGTTTTTAGTTGGGAGAAAACAAC